AAAAATCCTTTCAATATGTTTTTAAGAAACATTCGAAAATAATTCATTCTTAAATCGTGTCCCATTTTCGAGATATTCTCTGACATTTTATACACATTCATCCAATAGAGGGCCTCTCAAAAGAGCGACTTCAGATTTTTGGCATTTTACAAGTCATATATAAAATTGATTAATCATCTATTAATTAGATGTCACCACTTGCTATGAACTATGCTAGTGGTGAATATAAGCTAGTTAATTGCTGTGAGCTGGAGAGGGTGTATTTATATCACTTCTATCCTACCACGTGATTACGTGGTCGATGGGGATTTTCTGCTAATAATACACTGAAAACTGCCTGATGAATCTATACAATATATAGTAGAACACTTGGAATAAACATGTATGTAAAATCTAGTATAAGCTTACATTCAGAAATATGGAAATAAACAAACGTCCTTCCTTTACAGCTTCACTGTAGCCTGTACTCCTTTAAAGGGATACATCAATGAGTTAAAAATAAAAAATCGGTGTGGAGAATGGACGGGGAATCGAAACACAATTCAGCGCGTAGGAGGTGAGGAACTTGCCACAAGATTACGCCTCTTTCTACCTCTCTCTCTTCCTGATTTAAACCTTAAAATTCGCCCAAGCATCAACGTGGTTATTATAGCTATAAATAACACGTTCATTGTTCAACCAATCTACAATAAGCCGTTGATGAGAGATAGTCTAGAGAGATTAAACAACACTTAGAAACACCTTAGAAAAATGGCGCCCGTATATGATTTTTTGTGTTCTTTTCTGTTTATCAATACAATTTATATTTTGACACGATTGCGATAAAACGTATTCCTAGAAATGTATGGCTAATTACCATAAGCGACTGGTAAATGTAAAAGTTGTTTGGTTTATCATATAAGAATCTGTAATAAAACCTCGATTGCCAAAATGAAACCATCGATTATGTTCAGTATGTTGCTATATATAATAAAAGTTTCCAGTCTTTTTTCAGTTACCATTAAACAGAGTCATTAGTCATTTTGGATTTGCTAGATTGATGATGGCATGGGTTGTTCTTTTTCAATTTCAGCAATAAGTTAATCCTTTTTTATGGACATATTGCTACCTACAACCTTTGACATCATTAATCTAGTCAATAATCAGGTTCTTTGATGTACCAAATGATGGCAGGATTTATTGGAAAATAAACAACTTTTCATGTCCCCCATGCAGTATCGCTGAGCGTGAATTGATCACTGAAACTACGGATTTTATTTGCCCAAATAGCCTTGGATAACTGTGGTAACTAAAGTAACTGGAAAATGTAATAACGTTTTCGAACCTTTAGTGACATGAACAAAGGATTTTTAGCTTTGTCGATATAAGCTTAATTCACAATTTTCAGAAATTCACATCAGTTGATTATGCTTTGCACGCCGCTTAAAAGCGCCATCAAAGCGCCGTTGGTGTGAACTTAGCTTAACAAGTTACTTGGGGGAAGGGGAACAAGGGAGGGGAGTTTGGTAGACATTTCCACCAGAATGATGAAAGTATTCATCGATGTCATATCAAATATTTATGTCATATTGAACATTTATCTCCGCGCTAAAATACCGACGATTGCAAAGGTAGTTTAATCCGGTAGCCGACAGGCGTTTCTTGCATTCGTGAATACAAGCTAGTCCATTTCACTGTTGAATTGCGTCAGTAAAACCTAATAAATAAGAAATTACAATAGCATCATGCAATAATATATGGAAAAATATGTTCCTATTGTACATGAATGACATTTGTATATCTTGGATTGCTTCTAGTTTGGCATATAAAGTGTGTGGCCTCTTATATATGGATGCTTCTCTGCCATGTTATTTTCAATAAGATTAACATGGCTGAAATTCTTCAAATTACAAGAGGTCACAGTCTTATTGCACAAAAAATGAGAAAATCTGAAATGTACAAATGTCATTCATGTACAATATGAATCTACTTTTCCATATATTATTGCACAATGGTCTCCCGATTTCTTATTTTTGGGGTTCTACTGACGCAATAAAACAGTGAAATGGACTCTAACCTTATATTCGCGAATGCAACTAACGCATCTCGGTTACCTGATTAACCCAGTATTCTATGACTAACTCATTTAAATGTGAATGGAATAGTGGCAGGTACTATTCGTATTTACATGGGTCTCCAGTGAAATAGAAGGTTAATCCGGTAGGCGAAAGGCGTTATTTGCATTCGCAAATATAAGCTAAGACTATGATTTGGGAATGAAAGATTTCATCTACCGGATTAACATACTTTTCTATGGGCAACTCATTTAAATATTAAAAGTACCTGCCAATATTCCATTCATATTTTAATGAATTGCCCATAAAATAGTAGGTTAATCCGGCAGCCGACAGGCGTTAGTGGCATTCGCGAATACAAGATCATTTATTTTATAATTTGGGAAATATATATTTTCACAATATTGAAATAGATGGTGGTTCAAAGTGGAATACATATCATACAAAAGTGTCACAGATATGACTAGCAGGCATATACTTTTAGTATATTAGTCCATTTTTCACCCCTATACATTCAATAGTGAACCTAGAATTTGTTAAAAGTACGATGTTTTATGGTCGATTTATGATAATAAGGGTTTTCTGAAGGGATTTATGCCTAGGTCACATAGCCGCCGGGCGCCGGCCGATGAGTAGTCATCGGCCGATTCCTAAATCGACCGGGCGCCGGTGACTTTTCACCGATGTCTTGATCTAATCGTGAGTATGGTCACATTAGTACAGGCATCGTACGGCGCCCGCAATCAATTGAATCTGAAAGACATCGCACGGGTATCGCAAGGCTATCTGCCGATGGCCGTACGGCACCCGCCAGGACATCGGTCGATCTACAGGCCTCTAGATTTCACTAAATGCTTGTATGACCCAGAATGACTGTTCCACATGGCGTGAATGCAAGATTTGAAAACGAAATACTTCGATAGACAGGACTTCCAGGATAATAATGTTTTCATGCAATAAAAATCACAAAAAGAAGATCCTCTTTTGAGTAAATAGGTTTAATATTTAGAAATAATGCTGACATGGGGTCCCTATTCATAATATTTCAAATTGTTTGATTGATATTTTTACTATCATGGGTACTTCAATTGAAAGAAAACATATTGTTTTAATAAAAACACTGTATTTATGCCCAGAAAGTACTCATGTTGAAAGATATGACCGTCTAAATTCACTTGCCATACTGCACGTGGTATTTTCATCAAAGTGCACCCTGACCTTAATTCATTTTTAGATCTTTCATATAAACAAATACTATGTCTAACTGTCCATCCGATGCTATTAGCAAAATTCCCTATTTTTGCATCTTTCTTTTGTCTGTTCTCGTAAAGAGAATTTGTTTGGTCATAAAAATTATGGCCTATCTTCTAAGCACTTGGCAATTTTTTCTTCTATTTCAAGTGGAGTACCCTCTTCCCTAGACACATCTTAATCTTCATCATCCACCAGCTCACTAGCATTGTTATTGTCTTTTTCCACCTATCTTCCCAAGGCCTTCCTCATATATGGCCCATTGGCCTTATCCCCTCTATCCTTAGCCTTTGGCATATTAACTGTGATTGAGACAGTGAACTTTCGTATTAAAATTGTGACCCTTGAAAATACTGTACTCACAAAAACATTCAGAAGATTTTTAAAATAAATGATTTGTAATGGTATATGCATGAGTGAATATACGCATAAAATGTATCACTCTATTCAATGTGTATGACAGACATACACGAGTAATGTCAATATAAGAACGACTAGATCAACCTACCCACCCAAACAGCCATTCAAATGTGTGTCATTGTTTTACAGTAAGCCTAATCGTTCCATTTATGTTTTATAAAAAATCTCTGACAGTAAGTAGTAATTATAATTCCTTACCTCATTATTTTTAAAACCTTTATATCACTTTATAAGTAATCATTATTAAGATTTATCAACAAATCAGCACGCAAAATCCCAAGATGACCGTGCGATGCCACCGGGCGCCGTAAGATAATCGTACGATGACCGGACGGGACACGGCCGGGTAGCTACCGATGAGTTTGGTTGAGAAAAAATCACCAAGACATCGGCAACTTTTATCTCCGCGATAAAACTCTGCCGGCGCCCGTACGATGTCTAAAAATCGGCCGATGAGTGGCGATCATCGCCCGGCGCCCGTACGATGCCCGGGCTCGCCGGCCGATTTTGAACAAAATACTCATCGGCCGGGCGCCGTAGTAAAAATCGGAGCCTATGTGACCAAGGCATTAACTGGGTTGCCGAAAAAGTTTGTTTGGGGAAAAAATTATATAGGCTGATTAGGGAGGGGTGCAATCGCTTAACATGGCGTTGACTATTGACTTAGCGTTGGGATACCACCATATACCTGGTATGTTACTATGGTAATAGATACCAAAATTTTCCCCAAAGTTATTTTTTTGGCAACCCAGCTAAATCACTCCAATAATCCCTAATGATAGTATTTACACAGAAAAACATCATACTTTTAAATATTCATACGTTCAGAAAATGACAAATGGACTATATGGTCTTTCTTTGCATGACTTCGCAGAACATATCAAAACCCTGGGATCCACAGGGTAACAGTAACAGTAAGTACATTTCTAAGTTCATGCTTCAAAGTTGTCAAAGTTGTAAAAGGGTAATCCTTTTATGAGTACGAAAGCGTACTTTTTGTTGAATAGCCTTTCCCAGCTGCTAATCTTGTGAGTGCATCGTGCATTCAACGAATTGTATTCACTTATTAACCAATCAGTGCCAGGAACAAAATGCACGCTGACTTGTTTTATGAAGCATGCTACATACAAATGTTACGCTTTTGCTCATTTACTTTGCGAACTATTTATATAATATACATTATATATGTTATATACTATTTATATAACATACATTACCTATGGAAGCTATGGAGACTCTTGTACAACTCATATCAGAACTACTTCTGCAGCGTTCAAGTCGCCGGAACAATGTCAGAGCCCTTTAAAATACGCCAGGGAGTATTTCAGGGGGCCGTTAACAGTATGATCCTGTATCAATTTTATATAAGTGACTTATTAACGGAACTCCAAAGGAGCAATTTAGGAGCCAAGGTCATGGGAATGAATACCTGCTCCCCAGCGTACGCTGATGACATTGCATTAGTAGCTTTATTCCCAGGGGCAATGGACACGTTGCTGGATATCTCATTTAAACATAGTTCAAAATGGAGATACACTCTTCACCCACAGAAATGTGTCGCGCTAACGTATGGTAGCAACGAAAAATACGCATTTAATTTAGGGACGGACACGATAAATAACGTCACGAAGGCCAAACATGTGGGCATACCTCTGAGTACAACCGGAGATTTTAGTGACCACACCAAGCACGCTATATCAAGTGGCAAAAGGAAACTGTTTTCGCTTTTTGGACTCGGTCATAAAACAAACGGCCTATCCCCCATTCTAGCCACTAAGTTGTACAATAGCTTTACTGTTCCTACGTTTCTCTACGGTGATCAAATCATCAACTATAAACAACGTGATGTTGAAATGATGGAAGTGGCCCAACGCGAAATTGGACGAAGGATACAATTTCTTCCCAGTAATTGCAGCAATCCAATGTCGACGATGCCACTGGGAATGTGTTCAGTTAAACTAAAGATGGACTATGACAAACTCCTTATGTTTTTCAGTATTATTACGCTTCCCATGACCAATATTTACAAACAACTACTGATGATGCGCTTTATGAGCATATTTATACAAGGAAAAAAATGGGATTCACCAATATACAGGATGTGGGAGTGTATAAAACGTCACAATCTATTAGACTATGTGATCAATATGATTACCAACGCGAATTTTCCATCTAAATATACATGGAAAAGGATAATTAGGAATATAATAGGCACCAAACAGAGAAACGACTACAACACGATTTGCGCAATGTACAAGCGCCACGACATAGGTGTAAAGATTTCGGATGTCTCAACTAGTAGAAGTGGACTACTTAAACCATGTATATGGTGGTTACTCGCAAAAATGAAACCAGAAAATCTTCCAGTATGTAAAATTATGATGCGCCTCTCTACAGACTGCCATGAGCTGCGCGTAAAAAACTCTGGGCTAAATTGTATTTGCGTTTTGTGTAATACGTTTGAGGTAGAAACGATTGAACATTTCCTTAGCTCCTGTGAGGCTTACTTTGATGAACATGCCAGACTGACTTCTATTATAAATAAATACGGTAACCCTTGTGATTTAAAGAGCGTTGTATTCGGCTATCACGAACATATAGCTGAAAATGACATGATCCAAATAGGTGAAATTGTTCTCCAAATGAGTATAAAAAGAGCTCGTTTAATGCGAGCGTACACTGGTAACCAGATGTAAAAAGGTGACCAAAAAACACTTTCTGTAAATAGTTTTGACTTTATTATGTACATGTATATGTGTTGTAAATTATAAAACTACTCTGTTTAACTACAGGTTAATAAATTAATAATAATAATAATTACCAATTGACTGCAAGATTTGAGTGAACAAGTACCTCGTATTTTTCATTTTTCGATATTTTGTAATTTGTTGGCTGATGAGTAACTTGATATTTTATGTCTAAATGTATCAAAGTGGTTCATAGTAATAGTTTTATTGTACACCATAAACTGTTAACGTTTTAGAAATAGAACACAATATATGATTTGATAATAGGACAATACATGTAATAATATGTCTAAACTCGGTGGTTTGTTTGTAAGTTTGTTTTTCTAACACCTCAATAACTTACATTCAATGCGTATCTAATCCTCATAATTTACAAATAAATCAGTTATTAAATGCCCGATTTTCGACAGTTAAAGGTAATATATCAACCCTCGGTCCCCACTGTTCCTCTTGTAGATATATTATACATGTATAACCTTCTCAGATATATCCTGTATATTAAATACATTAAATAACATATATATGTTAGTCTCAGCCTAGACAGTATACATTAATTTTATTGGATTATGCGTAAAATTCGAATGAACTTGAAATGAAATTCAACATCCAAAATATGTTAATTTGATCATTCACCGTGTAACTCAAAGCATATGCATGGCCTATTTGCCTTAAAATACGATTGTGATTATGATTTCTGTTCTCCACAAGTAAAATCTAGAAACATAACAGAGTTAAGTTACACGAAATTCAGCTAACTTGAACACGAAGTCTTTCAATTAACTTAAAGTGTCTGTTCGATGCTCATGGGGTCAAAATACAGTTTATACACGTTCTAAATGAAGTAAATACCACTAACATGTCGAACCAGTAACCGTTCTTGTAAACATTTTTATAAATGTGAAATTTAATGTTCAAAATCGGGAACACAATTTCAAATCTCTATCATGACATCACGAACAGGACGGGTTTAGAATATGTTGTTGGAGTTCATAATCTCCGAACGTGCTTATAAAGTGTTAGTGTAATTGATTGCAACTGCATTCATTGAAGTGAGGAATTGATTCAGAGTTGACTACTTTGGAGTCACGTTTTTTCCTCCGATAAACCAAAAAAAATAATACCTAAATTAGAGCCTCCGACCCAGCGGTACGTTTTCACATAGCTAGTCATGCAGAATTACTTTCTGGCCAGTCAGAACACAATATAGAAAATAAACACGCTCAGTTGATAGTATTACCTAACACAAGGCGTCTAAAATCTTGTAACCAAAAGGCATTGAACCATGAGGTGATTTCGGTAAGTGTTACTCCTTTCTGGCCAATCAGAACACGGTATAACATGAACACTTTTGAATTTACATTCGAGTTGCATAACGCATTGCCGATAAAAATCCATAACCGCTTCTGTTCGTGACCAAGGAGGATTGGAAGCCAGGGTTCCAACTCGATATTCTTTAATCTCCACGCATGCGTCATTTGCTATTCGTGTCTGTATAATTTGTACGACTGCATGGAGAATGACCCGATACTCTCCAACAAAGCTATCGCTAGGTGATTGTTTTGCAGAATATCGGTGTTGCATTCTGGGAGCCAATCCTCCTTGGTTCGTGACGTCATGTTTTTTCCCGGGAAATCTTATTTTGCCACTAATGAACAAATAGAATGAGTTAAGAGTCTGTTGGAATACTATTTTTACTTACCAATATCTGTTTAATCTACTGCAGTGAGAAAAAATAAACAGAAATTACCGAATAAGCACTTTAATCGTTGATTCATTTCTATAGGTTTATTAGAATTATTACAACGATCGTTCATCAAACGAGTCCTATATTCAATATCTATTCGTTGGACCTATTCTTTAAGTGTAACTATATTCTTTAAAAGTATCTGCTTAGTGCTACGTTAACATATATTCATTATTTTTATCCACAAAAGAGTATCAAACGTTAATGCACAACTAGCCGAGACATGGCCCCCCCTCGTCCAGAGTGAAACACAAGGTCCTCATTCTTTAATAATTATATTTCAATTATTTAGTTAAATGCTTAAATGTTGGAAAATGAGTCGCTGTGACGTCATATCTGGCACAGCAATTTCAGAGTCACTGCAATGAATAGAAACATCACAAGGATCTTAAGACTAAATAAATAAGCTATTTAGGGATGAATATAACATTCGGTGAAATCCGTGATATCGTTATATCATTCGTTGATCGTCAAAGCTGCGCCCATTCGCTACCCTCATCTGTGAAACTATCGATATAGAATTGAGTCTCTATTTTCTATTTCAAAACATTGGGATTTACGCGCACAAGAGATGCTATGTAGTAAGCTATTACAAAAATCAAAAAATCGCCACCAAAATTCCTCAGAGCAGGCAGATATAAGACCAGACTGGGCATACACAAAATGTATTGTATGTGCTCCTTAGGTTGCACTCGGGTGCTATCAAAATCGAACACACACAAGTATAAGATACACCGCATCATGATAAACCATGACATCTCATTTCTTCTCAGCCCTGAGATGTTTCAGGTGAAACAGAAAGATGCTATGAGTATCAGAATGGATACACAGAGATAATTAAGGGATGAGTGACAAAGGGATGTTAAAAACAGGCGGCTATTTTTTTGTAACTTCCGAATGTAAGAATCTTTTCATCGATAAAAAGAACATCTTAGATATGTTCTATGTGAGTGTATTTGAAAATGTAGTACATAGCTAGTTCCATCTATAAAGATGTCTCACGACAAAAAGCTCAATTTTCCTTGATGTCACGGTCAATGGAACTTTAACACGTGAACTAATGTTTTTTATTTTTTTGTTTTAAAGTCACTTATAGCAAACCTAATCTAACAATTATCTCACGATATGCTTATGACATATTCATGTATACGTCGTTTGTATTTTTTTTTAAATCGACCCACGAAAATATGCAATACATCAAGTTAAAAAAAGTGGTACGAATCATAGAAGCGACGTTGGGTGGTTCACTAGTAATTTTTTATGGAAAATCTAGAAATATTACCCAAATTAATTTATGTCTATTCAAAAGAAGACATTCAAATCTATATTATGTAAAAAAAATCAAATTTGTCCGAAGCAGGGATAGCGCTCAATTAGAGTGATGAACTTCGTTCTCCAAACCGAGAATCATCCTTTATTTAAAATTAAATTTTAGAGCTCACAAATATGTTTTAATAAGCGATAATTCACACCAATATGTAGCATTCATCCTCGTGTCTTTTGTCGAAAAAATAACAGAATCGGTTGATAAATAAGCGAGAAATGAACTCACCTACATATGTATGGAAGTGATATTCAATATTTTAGTTCTCATAGAAACCAATGGTACAACAATGTCTAAAACACAATATATTCTTCTTTTCAACCAAGTGAGTCAATCAACATTGGTTTATTTTGAAAGATTAGCATTTTTAGAAAATATGAGAATGATGACGTCACGATGCTGTCACTGAGGTCGCACAGGTTTTTTAATATGCTAAAACATTTAAGTGGCACATTAGGTCTGACATTTTATCATTCAAATAGTACGTCCTTTGTTTAATCTTCGCAGTGGTGTTAAAAAGTTACTATGTTTTGCACTGAATAGTCGAATATTTGATGATTAAAAATTTCAACTTTTATTTGAAAAATCCCTTAAAACCTTTTTTTCAAAAATCTCTCTATAACTTTTAAAGTCATGAAAATGATTGAATGAATGATAAGAACATTTTTTCCATGTTAAAATGGGACCTTTAAATAATCTCCTGGCCTCAGCTAAAATAAGAAATAGCAATCGATGTTTAACCTTTACATATCTGAAACAATGAAACGAACAGAGCTTTTCGTAGATTTTATTAGATTTGAGGCCATGCTTTTATTAAAAGCAGTTGCTTTCTGTAGTTCATTTGCCTTATCTTTCAATCTATCATCTCTCTACCTTAATGTTACATTTTGAAAATGTAAGTTGTTGTTGAACAGCTTGTCTTGTGGATGTTTGCCGTCTTTCAACTCTGCATCTTTCGTCAAAACAAATCCGGTTAGATTGGTTGTATCTATGAACAATTTTATTCATTTGATATGGAGCGAAAATAATTTGTATATCCAAAGGGAAACCTCTCCAGGAAGATAACCCTTCCAACTGACACTTGATTATTCAACATTGGCCAACCCTCAAAATATGCAAAAGATATCCAGTTTATTTGCCATGAACTTCATTACAATTTAACTCAAGATGCAATCATTCCAAATTTCATATTTTAAAAAGATTTAATCTCTTCCCTCGATCAATAGATTTTTTGAAAACAAGATTAAACTTCAATAAAATATACAGGGAAATATAACTTCAATTGTTTGTCCATGTTAGGCAACCAATGAATAAATAGTTTATGATTCCAACACAAAAATAACAAGAACTACAGAAAACGTCAATCTGGGAATTATGATTATAACAACGCGGTAACTTCTTCACATTTTATATCAGAAAGGTAGTTTCTTCATGACACGGGTCTCCAACAAACTTCCTTTATTTCCTAGCCATGTACTTGGAAATAAGTAATTGGACATTTTAAATATACCATATCTATGTTGTATACAAATCGAACAATAAATTTCAACGCTGCAGCCAAATAAAATAAATAATTCCACGTAGTTTGCATGTGAAATTGTTATAAGCAAAGATGTTTATCTATATATTTCATCATTTTTTCCAAGGACATGATTATAACTTTTTCATAACATTTATATACTCGATCAGGCAAGTAAGTACTCCGAAGGGGATAATTAATCCTTAAAGGACCACACTTACAATTCTATACGTTCACGTTCAAGGTGTCCTTAATCCGCGTAGCTTATTCTTTAAGACGATATGTGGCTAAAAATTAATCTACAGAAGATGCAATGAAAATATTGAATTGAATATCAAAATAGTTTTTAACGTTCTTCCATCTCGTTTGTATGCTTGCTCCAAGGAACGATTTCTAAAATCGTTACGATAACGGCAGTTACCATTTATCATAGTCCCAAGTGGTCTGGTTTGTGGATGGGTATGTTATACAAAGTGTTGAAGAGTGAGGTATATGTCTACTAGCAATGGAGAGGTTAAGCTTTGCATATATAGGAGAGGTTAAGCAAATACGGTTTTTCAAAACGTATACGTAAACGCAAAGTACATTGAATCAACATAGGATTGTATCGCTTTAGTCTACTTCAGATACCCGTTCAACTTCAATGTTGCGTGTTTAGAACGGGAGATTTTACAATTTCACGTTGCTATCAACGGGAGTCATTATACTCGTGTCTGTTGAATACTATCCTCGCAATTTT